AACCCCAGGCATATTAAATTAGGGGCCACCCTAATGAACTCACTTCTCCTGAATTACCTCTTGGAGAACTCTGTGTCCAAACACAGTCACATCCTGAGTCTCTGGGGTTGAGAATAGAAACAGTTACATTTGGGGGAGGGGACACAATTCAACCCATAAAATACACAAATCCCCTGCGGAAGACACACACCCGGGAAAGGGAAATCTGGGTGAAAGGATGTGCAGATAGCAAGTTTCTACAAGTGTAGCCAGTTGACTTTCCAAAAGGGCTCCAGCTGGTCACAGGGTCACCAGCAGCCTCTGAAGGTAGCTGCTTCTATGAACACAACCTCCCCTGAATACTAACATGCTCTTAACTTTGTGCCAATCTGCTGTCTGTGTGGCAGAGAAAATCACCTTGTTTCGTTTCCACTTTAAAACATACATTTCTGTAACCTTTCCCGGTTTCAATACCTGCCTGCGTTTTCTCTTCCACAAGTCACCTGGCAGATCCTAGGCCTTGGGATGCGCTTCCTCCCACCCTGGAGTCTTCCGGCATTTTCCCCTTGGCCAGGGCTGGGATGGCCATAGCTGTTTCTCCAGACTCACATTCATGTTAAAGAACAAAAACAATCATATCCTTTTAAGTCAAAGGGTTCTTCTAGAGCATCTTGCCCAGTGCGCTGTCACTAAAATAAGAAGTGGATGAGACCTCCCCAGGCCCTTCCCTTCCATATCAGAAGTGGAGCCTCAGGTGGCCTAGAGGGAATTTCATCCAGTCCTCCCTGTGGAAGGTGCTCTCTTCTGACCCAGGTGCTGCTGAGCAAGCATCTGACATCCAAAAGCCCGCATCTCCTCTTCTCCACCATGAGGGTGATTTTTGAGGATTGCAGGGATGATGCTCTTCATGCAGGCTGTTGATACAGAGGGTGCTATTGCCCCACAGCTGACATTCACCGTGCCGATGCCTTGAAGGCATGAATCATTTTATCCTTCCCCATCCTCACATGCAATTTTACCTTGAAAGCCTAGAACCCTTTTCACCATGGGCACCCAGGTTCTCCACATGCACAAGTCCCTGAAGGGTTGATGCTTCTTGGTGTGATTTCCAGATCCCGATCCTCTGGTGGTTCACGGCGTTACCACTGACTCGCATGTCCCTCCTTGTCCCCCTAGTATGGAACTGAGATCTGCAGGATGCCAACTTTCCAGCCCGGCACAGGGGAGAAGCTGTTGGAGTCCCTGGTTCCAGCCTTTCTAACTAAACCCATCTCCTCCTATGCCACCTGCCTGGGTCCCTCCTGGGACTTTATCACAGTGCCACACTTTTTGGAACTACTGCTTAGAAGGTGAGTGCCCATCCCCTTTTCTCTTCCCCCTCACTGAAGCAGCTCTCAGCATTCTGCCGCAATGGCCCATCTCTCTTACTGCTTGAAAAGGCACATAAAAAGCAAGTCTGCAATGGTATTGGTAAAGGATGTCTGAGTTTCCTTCTGGCTGGACTTTCTCCTTGATACAGAGAGAAGAGGGGTCCCTTCATGCTGAAAAAGGAGCCACAGGCCCACTCAGACATCTGGAGAGGCTCACTGGGCTTCTCCAACCGTTGGGGTTCACTCTTTCAACACATACATACAAAACACCTCATTTGTGCATCGTTCTTCTTGTGACTTGGCCTAATTTCATAAACAAGGCAGATGACAATCCCTGGGACTCAATTCTACTCAGAGTCAGGTGCTCACAGTAGACAGAATAAACAAATCATATCTACACAATGTTAGAGGTGAAACCCTCATGGCCTCCTCTACGTATGGTGGCATCCTCCCAGATTCTGACTAGAATGACGGAGCCCAACAACAAGTATAGACTGGGGGGTCTTAGGGTTCTGAAGGGCCTCTTCACCCACAAAACATGGGGGGAAATATGTGGACTCTGGCTGGGGAGAGACTAAAGGAGCCCTGGGGTTCATATGTCTTATAATTCCCACAACAACGTTGACATCTGGGGACTTCCCCTGCAAGAGGCAAATAGTGAGTTCTGTAAATGGAGACTTAGGTCCCCTGCAAAGGAGAGGTGAGGCTGGGGCCACAAGTGGCCACTGAGAGACCCATCCCCAGCACCGTGGCTTCCCAGCTCTCCCTGTCCTCCTCCACCCAACATCTGCCTCTACCCTCCTAACCCCAGGACCAGGGAAACCAAAGCTGGAGCTCTGATGAGCAAGCTGCTCACAAATCTGCCTGGAGCTGCAGTCTTGAGTGCCCGGGTGCACAGTGCTCTGCTCTAGGGCCACTGGGAAGAGAATGTCAGTGGGACGCTAGGGAGCACAAGGGTCTGTACAGCCCCGCTACATGGCCAGGTCTGCCCCTTCCAGGACAGCACTGATGGCTTGGGGTAGGGTGGGGCTGTCCTCTACACAGGCAGCAAGAGGCCAGGGATCCGGATCCACACAAGGGTGCCCTGGAGGGTTGTGTGGGAGAAGGCCAGGCCTCTGACTCAGCTGTCCACTCCATCACCAGCACCACCACCTCCATTTTGTTCACCTGGCCCCCTGAAAACAGTTCAGTTTGCTGCCAGACCCTGCAACGGTCATCTTTCTGGATAATGCTGGCCTTCAGAACCTTCGCCTGGCCTGGACTGGGCTTGGAGGACCATCAGGAAATTGTCCTAGGCCAGTTGGTGCTTCCGGAGCCCAAGGAGGCCAAGCCAGATGGTGAGGCGGCTTGCAGTCTGGAAGACTTTCTGGGGGTGGTGTTTTGGGGCTACAATTCCCTTAAATTCCATCCAGTCATTTCTATACTTGGAAATCCCAGTGAACAGTGACTGGAATGGTGACCTTTTCTCTTTTTCCAGATCCTGCTCCACCTCCTGGGCAACACGCATCAACAATGCTGGCCCTGGAGCCAGCACCACCACTGCTGGCAGACCCGCGGTCTGCTCTGGAGCCAGAGTCACCTGTAGCCCTGGATGCACCAGGATATCTACATTCAGCATCAGCACCAGCACCAGGGGAAGGGCCCCCTCCAGGAACAGTGCTGGAGCCCCACTCAGCCCCAGAGTCCCCCTGTCCATCTCCCGGGACTGTCAAGAGCCAACACACTGAGGAGCTGCCAGACATCACGACCTTCCCTCCCAGGCTGCTGGCAGAGCAGCTGACCCTTATGGATGCGGTGAGCAGCTGGGCTTTGCAGGCTGTGCCTCTGGCACCAGCTGTTTCAGACCAGCCTTTCTCTGAGGAGCGGCCAATGCCCTGGGTCCAGTTTCAGCCCCACTTCTTACCAACCATGGGATCTGGATGAGTTTCCTTACCCACAAACAAGCCTTCCCTGTCTGCATGTGGACAGCAGAGATGGGACATCACCCGTGCCAGCTGCACAGAGTGACTGTGCAGACTGAATGACAGGGGATGGACAGAAAGCAGGACAGGGCAGGTGATCACTGAGGGGCAGGCAGGGCCATGGGTCGCTCACCCAGCTGCTCAGGAGCCTCACGACCCTCAGCACTTATTAGGTACCTGATGAATACTAGATTCTAAGGCAGACAACCAAACAGAGCCCAAGGTTGCAGCTGCTGCAAGGAAACTGCACCAGTAGGGAGAGAAGGAGTAGAGGGCTGATTGGGATGGGAGGAAGACAAGGCCTCAGGATGGGGAGGCCTGAGCCACCTTCTAGTTCTTGGAGTGAGGCTGGCCTGGGAGAAAATGTCACTCTCTCTTCCCACCCTTGTTGGTCTCTGGGGCATGATGCATTCAGGGCTCTCGGTGGGCAGAAAACTAAATCCAGGGACTCCCACAAGTCTGGAGCATATTTTAAAGTTTTCTGAGCTCAAGCTCGGTTCCTGCCAGAGACTGTGGATGACTGTGAGCTCAGTCCCTGCCTGGGACTGTGGGTGACTCTGAGCTGGGGTGTGCTGTGTCCATGACACTCTCCTCCTTCCCCAAAGGATCTGTTCAAGAAGGTGGAGCTCTACGAATGCTTGGGCTCCATCTGGGGCCAACGACATCAGAAGGGGAGTGAGCACGTGGCACCCACAGTTTGTGCCACCATTGCACACTTCAACAGGCTCACCAACTGTGTCACCACCTCCTGCCTCGGGGACCACAGCATGAGGGCCCAGGACAGGGCCAGGGTGGTGGAGCACTGGATCAAGGTGGCCAGGGTAAGCCATGGTTGGGCCTTAGGATTCCCTCTTTAAAAATGGGCAACTGCCTCTTCTCCTCCATCGGCTTTCAGGATTGGCATCTGTATCTCTAGCCTGAGCCCTGCACATCCCCTAAGCCCTTCTTCCCACAGCTTCCCTGACCTTGACCCCCATGGCCCAGTGGTGGCTGCTCACTTCTGACCTGGGATCTTCCTTGGGTTGAACTGAAGTCTTTCTAGATGAGTGACATTCACTCAGCCAGTGTACCCAGTGTACCCTCCTGAGGCTCCCTGGGCCTCTGCTTCATTCACGAAGGGAGATTTCAGCAGAGGGGCCTGAGGCTGAAGTGGGTCTGACTCCAACTCTGGACCTCACAGCTCACTCTTCTCTCTCCAGGAGTGCCTAAGCCTCAACAACTTCTCTTCGGTGCACGCCATCGTCTCTGCTCTGCGCAGCAACCCAATACATCGGCTACACAAGACTTGGGCAGGAGTGTCCAGGTGAGGAGCTCCCTCCACGGGAGCACTAGTGTTGACTTAGGGACCCATAGGTCTCCCCATGTGCCCTCAACGACTCTGAAAGGTTCTTGGAGAACAAGGAGACTGGAGGCAGGGATGGGCTGGTGGGTGTGGTCACTAAGCTGCCCTGGACTCCCAGGCAAGGATTTTTTACTCAGGAGTAAGGTTTTTTAACCATCAGGAACAGACTGGAGCCAACTGGAGGGTGTCAGGTGTTGGTACCCAGCAGTGGAACTGTGTCCAGCTGGAAGCTAACTGTGAACACGCAGGGGCTCATGTGAAGTGGAGATGCGCCAGGGGAGGAGCATGACAGTCCCACCCTGGTGCTCTGGAGCCCTTGTCATCAGAGGACCCCACTGGAAACTCTCATGCAGGAAGCTGAGATTCACTGGGTTTTCAAACAAAAGAGATTGGAACTCACAAATCTCCCCCGTGATTCCCAAATTTACCCTTTTTTCTTTCCTCTGTCCATAGCAAAAGCACAAAATATCTGAAAGAACTCTGCAAAAAAGACACTGCAGTGAAGAGGGACGTGCTGATCAAGGTACAGTGGAGTCTGGGAGATGCGGGACAACTGTTTAAGGGTCAGAGAAGAGTGAGTTTGGAAGGGCATTGGACCTGGTGTACAGTGGTTATTTTGTAATGTTTTGACTTACCTACAAAAAGTGGACTTGAAAAATTCCCTCCATGCCTACTTTGGGCAAACAGGAGGAGAAGTCGATGGGCACGTGGAGGCACGGGGGCAGGAGGCCCTGGAAATGGGATGTGGCAATGGCTGCTGGGCTTCTGAGTGGGGGTGATGAGCTGCAGCATTAGCAGGACTCTGGCTCCCATGCTGGTCCATGCTGCTGGCATGGAGCTTCCTCCAGGCTGGGGGGTGGTCATTGTAGGCGGGACTTTCTTCCTTCCTCAAACTGGCAGCAATTCCTCAGGAAGCCAGGCCTCTGCTGCTGCTTCTGTCTGCAGCGCACCTCCATGGGCAGGGGGCATCTGCCCACACTGGGGGAAAGAGGGAACAACAACAGAGGAAGCTCATGTGCCAGGGAGTCCAGGAGACTGCCCAGCTATGGGTACCAATGGGCAACCTCAGGACAGATGTATGTGCTTGCTGGGATTCCCTGCTCTGCCCTTTGCAGACATCTGAAAATGGTCATGTCACGGGATTCTCACCAATTAGCAGTGACACATGCTCATGACAAGTATCTGGGGGATTCATGCATTCCTAGGGGATCCTCCCTGACCAGATCGCAGAATCTTCCATGCAAATGAGAAGGCAACATGTCACCCCACCCAGGATTCTGGAAAACCCTGCCATGTCCATCAGAGGTGTCGCCTCAGGAGGCCACATCCTGAGTGGAGGAAGAGAGTTCTGTGCACGGATCTCCACTGGGGGATCACCGGCGAGGCCAACCATGGATTTGGCATGGCACAAACCCAGTTTGTGTGGCAGAGACTCCAGTGGGGCTCAGATAGGCAGGTGCCACTTAACCAGGTCTCCTAAAATGCCCTGCCCCTTTTCCATCACGACTCTGCAAGGCTGGAGACCTAGACACTCAGAGACTCCAGAGAAAAAGACCCTGATGGGTGGTGGTGCTGGGATGTGGGCTGAAGGCAGCCGAGACAGAGCCTCCAGGAAGGGGAGGAGGCGCCCTCTCTTTTGCAGCCCTGGGGAGTCACTGCCGACTCTGGGTCTCTGTTTCCTTATCTGGCAAATGAAGGGATGCTGAGTCTGTAGTGCAGGCCTCACAGGGTGGAAATGAGGTTCGAGAAAAGAAAGCAATTTGAGGATGCTCATGCCTGGTTTTTCCTCAGAGGGATGAGGGGGAGAACAATGACAACAGCTACAGGTAACAGTACTCAGGAGGTCCTGTGAGGTAGCTGTGGTTTTCATGGCTCTTTTCAGAAGAGGAAACAGTCTCAGGGAGGCCTGGCTGCATGATCTGGTAACACACACACGGAGTGTGGAGCTGGCCAGTGGTATGAGCACTGTGCCAGGTGACTCACGCCAGTCCCTGGGGATCCAAGTGTGGGGTGGCTGGGGTGTAACTGGGGGAAGGGAAGAGAGCCTCACTGTCCCTGTCCCTGACACCTGGCAGGCGGGGAGCTTTAAGGTGGCCACCCAGGAGAGGAACCCCCAGAGAGCCCAGATGAGGCTGCGGAGGCAAAAGAAGGTGAGTGAGACTGTCGCATGGAGGGATCACAGGGGATCAGAGGACAGGGCTCTTTTCCCCACCAGCTGGAGACCTCCATATCAACACAGCGGGGGCTTCCTCCCCAGCCCTGCCCTCCTATGGCCATTGGGCCTGGAAAACCTCCATTGGAGAGACCAGAGCAAGGGTCTGGGAAAGCAGGACTCAGAGTGCATGTGGGGAAGGGTAAGGCTGGGACCACAGGTCCTTGTGACTTGTTAAAATGCCACCATAGAAGTAACTAGAAGTGATTGCCAGACTTGGAGGTCAGCTGGAATAGAGGAGGCAGAGAATTGGGAAAGGCAGCTGAGGGTCTTTGACTGCTACAACTGGGAGACCTCGGGAGGGGGTTCTGGGAGACAGGGGCTGATGGGATTTCATGGGACAGGGCCTTGGGCAGGCAGGTGAGGGTCAATACTCATCACCACTACCCCTCCCACCTCCCTACCCCTCCATGGCACAGGGCGTGGTCCCCTTCCTGGGGGATTTTCTGACTGAGTTACACAGGTTGGATTCGGCCATCCCGGATGATCTGGATGTGAGTGAGCCTGGGGCAGGCTGCTTGGGAACCAGGATCCTGAGGCTTGGGAGGAGAGGGGCCTGGACGGAGCCCTTAGATCTTAGCCCTTGGGAAACCTCCTCTCCTGAGAGCCTCACAGCTGCTCCTGTGGGAGGGGGTGCCAGGCCCATCTCATTACCTCTGACTGACAGGGGCTCCATGGCAGTCACCAGTCCCTATCCCTGAGTGGTGAGGCTGCAGAGCTGCCTGACTGCAACGCTGCTGAGCTGTGGGCTGAGCTGGACTCAGCCTCTCCCTAGGGTAGTCCCATAATAGGAGCGTGAAATTGAGCCTTTCCAAGGGCAGGCAATTCCAGGGTCACTGAGCACTTTCTTTCTACGAGAAACCTCAGTTTGTCTGTCTGTCATCTCAGAGGGTTGGGGCAGAAGGTCCCTGAGCCCCAGCTCCCATGCCCCCTGCCCTAGAGCCCGGAGCCTGAGACAGGTTCAAGTTCTGTCATGTGCACATCCCCTGACCCTGGTGGCCCTGGCAGTAGTGCAGCATGGGAAGGGATGGGGTGGGGCTGTTGTGGGCCAGAGACCTTTCTGATGGGCTCTATCTGACTTCCAGGGCAACAGCAACAAGAGGAGAAAGGTGAGCAGCTGGGCCATTCACGTTGGATGAGGGTAGGAATGTGGATGTCACAGTCCACCCTGGGCTGGACACTCCGTAGCTCCATCCTCTACATCTTAGGTTTACTGGGAGGGTTTGACACACACAGGAGGAGGAGACCTATCCCAGTGGAGAGAGTGGGAAAGGCACTGGAATCAAAGACCAGTTCCTGCAGGAGGGGCTGTTTACATCCAACTCTGAGGAGAGGCTGGGGACTGCATGGGGCCCCTTCACAGAATGGCCCCAGGAACCAGCCCCTTCTCCCTGCCTGCCAAAGGTCCCCTTAGCGTCTTCCACCCAGACCCTGTCAGCATCCTGCCCTCTGTCTCTAGGAGGTTCGAGTTCTGCAGGAAATGCAGCTGCTCCAAGTGGCTGCCATGAATTACAAACTTCGGCCTCTGGAGAAATTTGTCACTTGTTTCTCAAGAATGGAGCAGCTCAGTGACAAGGAGAGGTGAGGGCCTGGCACATGGAAAGAGGGTAGGAGAAAGCTCTCCATTCTTTTTTAACGTGGTCTGGCTCTGCCGCCCAGGGCCTCCATTCTTTTTTAATGGTTCACTCTGCCGCCCAGGCTGCACTGCAGTGTCACCATCTCTGCTCACTGCAACATCTGCCTCCTGGGCTCAAGCCCTTCCTCAGCCTCCCAAGCAGCTGGGATTACTGCTATGCACCACCATGTCCGGTTGTTCTTCTGTTGTTGTTCTGGTACAGGTGGGGTTTCACGATGATGTCCAGGCTGGTCTCAAACTCCTGGCCTCAAGCAATCCACCCACCTCAGCCTCCCAAAGTACTCACAGTACAGGTGGGAGCCACCTAACCTGGCCTAGAGAAGGCTCTCCTGTGGACAGCTGCAGAGAGCCTATGGCCATGACTCCACCACCAGCATCAAGCCCTGTTGCATGGGGACTGCTGGGGACCCAGGATTCCAGCTAGGCAGGCAATGAGAGGGGACCCGATGTGTGGCTCACGGTGGCCTCACAGCTGCCTCTCTGTCCTGCAGCTACAAGCTATCCTGTCAGCTGGAGCCCGAATCCCAGTAGGCTGGAAACATCCTGCAGTGGCTGGGGCCCTATTGGGATGCTTCCTAGAACACCAGCTCTGCATCATCCTTCACCCAGACCGGAGACACCAGGAAACCACATCTAGGTGGCTGGCAGATCAGCTGCATCTTGACCCCGCTCCTCAACTCCAGCTGCTCCTGCTGGCCAGGGTCAGGCCATGGGACTTTTGCATGTCAGGCGGGAAACCATTTTATGTTTATTTTCTTTAGTGTATAAGTACCGGATTTTTCCTTAGCTTTCGTTAAAATAAAATTTTAAAACACTATTCAGAATGTTCTATAGTTGTTGGAATGAGAACAGTAACTCCAGTGCAGTAACCGTATACCAGTCTTTAGGATTCATAGTCTAGCATGTCAAATTGAGGCTATGGCTGAACAAGTCATGGAATAGCGTTCACGTTACACCTGCCAACCATTTAATGTTTTCCTTCTTGATTCAAATTAATTATTGCTAACTCTGTTTAAGGAAAACAAAAAATAAAACAAACAAACAAAAAAACACTTAAAAACCACAGTATGTCACCCAATCTATGTCACTTGTTCTACTGACCAGTTACTCTCAAACTTATATTCTAGTTAAATTCAAGTTCCACTGGGTTACTCTATTGTTTTAAGTTGTAAATATTTAATGAATCACTTACATATTTACTGAAGGGCTAGAGATGGGAGGTATTTATGCAAGTGGTAGGGCTGGCCTTCTCCAGAAGTCCTGTGCACAAGGGAGCTGGCCATGAGTCTCCAGGAAATACAGATAAACTTTTCCCACTATGGATCTTCCCAGACTTTCTGACACCTCTCCCCTAAGGGAACATCAAGGAAGGAGAGAATTGTTTGAACCCAGTATCTAAAGGATGTCCCACAGCTTAATTTGAACACAAGCCCCATTGTGGTATATCAGACAAAAACAACTCAAAGAAATCAACATTTCAGGGTCTGAAATATGATACCCCCAAATCAACACAAAATAAACACTTAAATCCAGTCCTGGAGCCACAAAGCTCCTATAAGAAAAGTGGGAGTTTATTTCAGCAAAATTTATATCTATGCATGCAGTTTGCAAAAAAGAAAGAAAACAAAAGCAAAAATTATCTATGGCAACAAACCCTTAAGCCATGCAATTGATTTGGTATTACTTTTTCTTTCTTATTTTTTGTTCTTTTTGGATGGGATACAAAAATCACTGCTAACAAATATGAATACAAACACGTGGGATTATACATCACTTTAGAGCTTCTGCATGGGAAAGAGAAACAATGAACCATTAAAGAAGGCATCCTGATGAGTTCATGTCCTTTGTACGGACATGGATGAAGCTGGAAACCATCATTCTCAGCAAACTATTGCAAGAACAGAAAACCAAACACCGCATGTTCTCACTCATAGGTAGGAAATGAACAGTGAGAACACTTGGACACGGGAAGGGGAACATCACACACTGGGGCCTGTGGTGGGTTCGGGGGTTGGGGGAGGGATAGAATAGGAGATATACCTAACGTAAATGATGAGTTAATGGGTGCAGCACATCAACATGGCACATGTATGCATATGTAACAAACCTGCACGTTGTGCACATGTACCC